CGAAATAACTTCATCGTTATAAAAGGTACAGAGTTAGGACTGGTTTCAAATTAAATTTAGCCTCTGTGCGCAACTGTTTTTTCAAATAGAATTTTGAAACTTCTTTCCATTTATTTTTTATGAGCATTTTAATGGAGATGCAGTTCAAAATAAGTATAAAAAAGGTAACTCTCTCCACCAGTAAGTCTCACTTTTCTCAGTCCAAGAATCAACTATCAAAAATTCGTCTGATCAAAAGTTAGTTCTCATTCAGACCTTTAAAACAAAAAAAAAAGAACATCGATTATGCCCTTAATTGGGTGGGAATTAATTCAAGTTCCCTGCCTGGAAACTATGGTTTGACGAAAATGCTAAAGAAATTTTAGAAATGGATGTTTTTATTCAAATCCAGACAAAATCATATTAGAATTGCATATTTTTAGTACACTTCAGTGGATTGTTTTAAAGCACATAACATATGAAAGATAGCTAACGCCATCTATCATGCAGATTAATATAAAAATGTTCTATTCGATGCTAATGCAAGTGACAATGCAGTTTTTCCAAAACAGAAAAACTTTCAAAAAAGAAAGCACTAAAATTTCTCCGAAAACATAATAGTAGAGTTAAAGTTTCCTGTAATAAGTCTGTGAAACTCTGATCATTTTACAAAAAGGCATATATATTCTGAAAGAGGAAGTTTCAATTCATCTTCCTATGATAAAAATTCAACTTCAATACTTTTTCGAAAAATTGGGTTTTCTGAATGGGACTCCTTAACAAATTTTCAATATTTGTATCCGAAAATAGGACATTTTAGAAAGTCTGACATTTCTAAAAAAAAATCTAGTCCCATTAGAAACTTCATTTATGTAAATTTTGAACTTTAAAGTCGATTTTGAATATTATTTGCGGAGAGGAACCCACTGAAATGATCATTACTCAAAAAGAAAAGCTCATGAATACAGGTCTTTTTAGGCTTTCTATATTCGTAATCGAGTCTCATCAAAAGAAATAAGACTCATGTCTAAAGCGATTTATCACTTTGAGATATTCCTTCGTACGTAGTTTCACATAGAACTCTATATATTATTATATATTAAATTCAGAATAGTACATGATACTTTAAGATTTATTCTCATAAAAGATCAGTTGATGTTTTCATAAAGAAATTTTTTTTAATATTAACTTACTTAATAGTCTTACTGTATGAAGACGTTCTTGAAAATGTGCCCAATCAACGTTTGTATCATCATTGCTACTTGCATCTTCATCAACTTTTTCTTGATTAGCTGTAAACGATGTTAAGGAATCGGTTGAAGATGAACTTGATATAACGCTTGATGAACTTGGACGACGTTCACGTAATTTTTGTTCAGAAGAATTTGAATTTTTTTCCATATTAATAATATCCTTTTGATTAGATAAAATTAATGATGAAGCTTGATCAGGAACATAAAGAATTGAGGGAGTTAAATTTGTTGTTGTTGTTGTTGTTGGAGATTTTGACATTGTTTTTTTTTATTCTAATGGACTAAAAGGATCAAAATGATGTATTAAAATTTATTCGACACTTTTACGGTTTGAGAAGACTTAGTTTTCTTCCCTACTCTATATCAATGTATGTATAGCAACAATAGGTAAAACTCGAATTTAGTTGTTTTACAATCGTGTATTTATAATATGTTGGATACGAGATGTAGAAAATCAAATAGTAATCTTTTTCAAGTTAAAGATCACTGACCTCCAGCTGTCTGCTAGCGACGTTGACAAAAAAGTGAAGAAGAAGAATATGTTTTGTTCGAATGTTTTTTTCGTTTTTCTTCTTTTCGATCAAGGTGAAAAAAGAAAAATATGAATACCAATTGAGTAGGTAGGAGTATAAGGAAGAAAAACGAAGAGAAAGAATGTGAGAGACGTAGACAAAGATGTATTGTATAATAGAACTCACATACGAAATTTGTACCTGAGTCAAAGTTTTTCTTTTTTTCATGTGCTTGACGTACGCAGACCTTGCAATGTATCTATATCATATGACCTTTTTGTTTGAGAAATTCGGGCGTATGAGGAAAGAAATTTGACTAGAGTAACAAATATTTATTGAATAAAGGAAACTATGTTTTTTTCATTCAAACAAAAATAAGTATACGGTTTTTTTCCCATTAATGCATCATAAATATAACTTACCTGTTGGTTAGGATAAATAAACAAATATATGTATATATATATATATATAATTAATCACTGGGTTATAAACAAATTGAAGATTGTTCAACTAGACATGCCAATCTGAAAAATAAAACAAAAAGTTTTTCGTCTTTATTTCGAAAAATGATCAATCATTTTTTTTTGTCTCTGAGTCTTCATATATATATACACAGTTATTTTTTCATAGTTGAGTGATTACAAATAAGGTGTAGAATGAATCATTTTTGCATCATGTACAAAATCAGAATATTGAATGGCACGAAACTGCATGTTAAGAATATAAATGTATAATCATTGATGATGAATAATAATTTTAAAAAAAAATCCAAATTTCGTCATTGAGGAGTGTACCATACTTATGACAAATATATGTCACCACGTAAGAAACAGGTGACTCAGCAACTTCCTACCAAATAGTCATCTGATCGATTGAGTATAGATATCGCTAATGTACGGTCAATCGATTTATAGAAAAAAAAAATTTTATACATGAAAATAGTGCGGTTTGTATATATTATTGAGAGTTCAAGTATTGATAGTTCATTAAATAATTGATTTCTTTTAAACAAAATTTTAACTATAATTTTAAAAAAGTGAAAATACTTATGCGATAAAAATTTTCGATTTTTACAGATTTGCTTTCAAACATATAAGTTAATTCACTCATTGTACTTATAGTAAGATTAAATTTTTCAAATTTTCACATATTGCTGGAACTGATTCGTCAACTTTGACGTTTTCGTTATAAATTAAAACTTTAGCGGGTAACAGGACTGGCTCAATCGTTCAAAGTTGTAGGACAAGACTGTACAAAAAATGTTTGTTTACAGTTCAATTAATATTATCGCATGACGGAAGCACATATTAAAACGGAAGAACGAGACATGCACAAATGTGACGATGATAAACGTACACAAGGAGAAAACGGACACATAAGCATGTTCCGAGATAATCAGGTTTAGGAGACAGAATCAAATTTTTTTCTTAAGGAAATTAACGTTACTTTTTTTTTTTGCTATTAATAGTACAATCAATTTTTTCGGCTTGAGAACACTTCATAGAATGAGAAAAAGAAAATTGTTTCTATCTTCGAATCTTTTGAGAAAGAAATTTGATTTTATATCAGATTCAAAGAAGTTTGTTGATACTTCTATCACCAAAGACGTTCTCGTTAGCAACTATTGATCAAAGCTATGGTTTTCAAAAAACAAAATGAGGAAATTTTTTGCTAGTTGATCTAACATTCTATTGTCATATGTTGTTGCTTTCCAAAAACCAAAGCGTCATTGAATACAAGTGATATTTCTTATATACTTTTTGCTATCGAAGGCTTCCATTCTTGTGATCACTGTTCAATAAAGAAGCTCTTTAGACATAAAAGACATTATAACTTGTTTCTAAAACTGTTTTTTAATGCACGCTATGATTGTATAGTCGTTACTTTTTTGCAAAGCAAAAAGTTTTTGATTTTACTTTCAATTGGCAAACTCCTACCCTACATGTTTATTCTTTGACAAAAACAAAAGTTTCAATCATTATCTCCATCCATTTATCGGTCGGATATATAAATATAGTTTGAAGATTGAAGCTTTATCTTGAGCGAATTCAATATTAATAAAAACTAATCATTGTGAAATTATAGAGATTATTTAATAATTATAAAGTATAATGATTGTGATAGATAAAGGTAATTCGCTAAGTATTCATGAATTCAAGCAGAAATTAAGTGAATCATTTTACTATTCAATTATTTCAATAAAAGTACAAGTTATTGAACAATTTACATATAACTAATTCATTCTTTCCATCATTCGAGAGTAAGATTAGATACTTTAGAATTCAATATCATCTTCATTGGATGTCATAGATATCAATCAATAGCGTTCATTGTAACAGTAACATGGAATAAATGCTGATTATTTTCCTTTTCTAATAGACATACTTTGTAACAAACGTAGAAAATGGCTTTGATTCAAACACTCTCGGTTAAAATAAAACAATAGATATTGACAATTTTTTTTTTTTACTTTTTATTTTCGTTTGTGAACATATCTATCAACAAAATACTGAGATTAAAACTCATAGTATCATTTTTAAATCATGTTTTGGTGGTTTATATTTTTGAAGAGTTCATAAAAAAAAAACGGCGCAACAATAAATTGAAGTTATAACATCTGATATGTTACAATTGTATAGTATTATGTTGATTCAATAATCTCGTTAAGTTTCTAAACGAGATTTTCTGATTCTTTATGCAAGAACAATAAATTCTGAAATCGTTTTACAACTAATGAGATTCTCTTGATCTAACCTTTCGATTTGTATTCTGTATGTTAATGAAAATTTCTAATTTTCATCGAATAGACATATTCAAAGAAAATAGCCAATCTAACATACATAAACGAATACAATTTTCGGATTTAGTTTCAATTGGACGATGTCGAGCATGATATAGGTTCAAAAAGTTAAAAACACACATCATTCTAACAAAAGAGTTTTGCATTTATAGTAAAAAAAATTAATTTCTAAGAACCAGCTCAGTGATATAAAAAAACTAATATTTAATGATGAAAAATTGTGTATTAACTAAACTATGTTTTGTTCCATAAAGATTATGATGTTCTCAACTGAAGACGACTACTATCTGTGCAATCAAATTGAAAGACCAATATAATTGATGCCAACTTTTCATTGTGTTCGAGATTAATGATTTAAATTTTATTCGAATAAAAATAAATAAAATAACAGTAACAAAAGTTCGTCTTTCATTGTCTTTTTTTATCGATTAGTTTTTTCCGAGATATTTGAAAAATTTATGACCGAAGAATCGGACTAACCAAATAAAAAACATCAAAGCTAACGCAGCAACCGTTGTTGCAAAAACGTGACAGAAATTATAAATCCATACGTGGCAGAATAACTTAAGATCTGTTGGATTTTCTAATTGACAATGGGAGTAGTCTGTGCGAAACAAGAAGACAATCTAAATTGTTATTCATATAAAATTCAAAAACGAATTAGTTTTATATATACTAACCATAGATGTCAAAATAAATGCGCTAATACCGTATATCATCACAAATATAATCGCACCAAGTAGATACAATAAGTGAGTACCTGAGTCATCCACTTTAACGAATGACAGCACTACCTAAATGATTCCTATGTTCTAATGATTCTTTTATCAACTGAATTTATATATTCACAATATGGTTCTAGAATGTAAGTTCATTTTACTCAAAAATATCTTCATCCATGAAATGAAATTCAAAAGTCAAAATTGTAAAAAAGATTTTTCTTTTTGTTAAATTTCCTATCGATCTGTTTACTTTTGTTATAGGTTGATAAAGCAAAAAAAAACTTACGAGAATAAGAGCAATAATGCTACATATTGAGCCTATGAATCCAAAACCAAGAAGACCTTGAGGAAGAAGCGGTTGAAATGGACATTCGTCATATTTTGTAAAACCCAAAAATAAAGAACTGATTGATATACCAAAGAGAACAGTAAATATAGAACCAAATATCAAAGATGATCTCAAAAGTTCTGATACATGACTCATTGTTGTTAGGATTTATTATGAAATATACTTGTTTTGTTTGTTGTTAATGACAAATGTTAACTTTCTACTGATTCGTTGACAAAACGAAAAAACGAACACGTAACAAATTATAGTAATGAGAGAGTCAAACCGAAAAACTAACAAATCTATGATTCATGATTAATCATTGCATAGGAGCTGACGTGTAACATGAATAGAAAAGATTATTCATCACATCAACATATATTTTTCATCAAAAATAATGTTACTTGTCAATCAAATGAGACTTAATGAAAATGAAAAGATAAGTAATCTATGTTTACAAGATACACAAACATCATCACTTGTTTTCTTTTTTTCTTTGAATATTTTTTATTAATTGTAGAAGAATAACAACTATAGTCTCATATCAAGCATGGATATCTACTTATAGATTTAATTTGAAAATTATCTTAGTCTCTTCTCATAATTATAGCTTTATTTTTATATACAAGAATGACAGAGACATATATTAGTAAAATCATTTGTAATTTGATGGAAATATATTAATCTCGTTTTATATGAGTATTCGTGGATACATTCATAGACTATTGATCATACCATTAATTAAATTTAATGTAATATAATCCATTTTTTAGAGAAATTCCATTTTCCAAATAATACATTGCTGAAAAACATCGATATTCTTTTTCAAGTATCTTTTTGTTGTGTTTGACTTACAAAAATTTCAATGTCAATCATGATATATAAATATTCATGTATGTTATTGGACTATCGTATTGCAAATCGTACTAAAGATTGATCAACTGACCATTAAGATAGAGCGAAAGTATTTTCTCTGATACTAAATATTTATAAAGAAAATGATAATATTTATTTATTTTTTATTAAATTCAATTATAACTAAGAAACTTGAGTGAGAATGACGAAAAATCAGCTGTCATGATCAATTCTTTCTTTTTCCAATACTGGTTATGCATGCATCTTCAACATTATGGGATAAACTTATTGTAGAGAACAGACAAGTTACAAGAGCAATATAAGCGTTATCATCATCAATAGTTTTAGTATAATTGACAGGTGTTTTCATTCAACAGACAATGAAGTATGAACCATTCTGTGAGAATAGCATAGTATATTTAGTCAATTGAAAATAGGATATTACACTATTAAAAAAGAGACCGCGTGTGAACCAACAGAAAATACATTTTGGCCATTAGCATATGATGGATTCGAACCTTAATCACTAAAAATTTCATCTTAGTTTATAAATTCATACGTAGTTATTAGAGTAAATCTATTATTAGTCTTAAATCGAAGTTTGAAAAGAAAAACTTGATTTATAGAGTCTATATAATATATCTTTTTACTGTTGCTAGAATTGAAAAAAATTATTCATCTGAATAATGTTAATGATACGTAAAGACAAGCATATTTGATAGAACCTATAGATTAGAACCGATACTTAATGAAGAATGCACACTTTCAGTTATAATGATTAATCTTGCTTTGGTTTCATCTGTCAAAGACACACCTAAATATATGGGCAATGTCTATGAGACATTGTAGAGAACAAGTAAAACATATTGCTATTAAGAAAAAATAATCAAAATTTCGAATGTGTAGCTTTTCTACTAAATATAAATTTTAGTTTTAGATTAGATCTTATTTTGACAGATAAAGTATGGCAATAAGAATTAGCAAATATTGATGTCTTATTATTAGACATTACTGTAGAATAAATCCAATCAGTAACGGTCAAACTTGGTAAAACTAAATTCCTTGTGTAATGGATACTCCTGTGTAGTTCGCCAGTGGCTCGAACACCTAATACTACATCTGTTGTCTGTTCTGACCGGGTTGGTATTGTATAATTGGGATTATTGATCCCAATAACATTCAATAATAATATATTCAACAGGTTAATGTTGCTCTTTGGACAATTAAATGAATAAAACATATTGGTAGAAATGTTTTCGTATTGATGATGTGGACACTTTCTTAATGAAAGTATGAAAGTCAAGATTTATTTTGTTTTGTAGCCGTCAATATATTTCATTACTTAATGGTTAGCCGACGAAGAAGAAATACATATGTCAGATAGAAAAACAAAAATGATTATCAATAGAATGATGCATAACAGAAAACTGATGTTCACAAAAAGGAAGATCTTTGCTCCTATCACATGATTATAGTTTTAAATTGGATAAAGAAACAACAACTATGAAATATTAGAAATGTATAACACTTAATGAATATTCAGCAAAAGTCCATACAAATTTAAATGATAAATTTAAAAAAAGCTTGATGATCACAGTCACCTTGCAGATAGAGAAACAATACAAGAATAGGAATTTCATGGCAAAGATATCGTCTTTCTTTTTCTTTTGACTTGCATATAATCGCTGTTAGAATGCTAGTATTATTTCATACAATAAAGAATGTATCTAGACATTTGAACTTTTCTAAAGCATTTTCGATCTTTCTACGGTTAATCAAAACTACTATTGAGATCTTATGAATCAATTAATACCCGTTTCAACAATCTCCAGTTTTTTATTTGATTATTTCATCATTTCATCTGAAAACAAGACAGTTGAATCTCAGCTGATCATTTGAACAATTTGTAATTATTCAAGAGGCATTGACTTTATTTCATTTATTGATTAAAATGGATATCATACAATACTTAATAAAAAGAAACATAATCTATTATTCCATCAACCATTGAGTGTCTCGTACCCATTCAGCGAATGTTTTCATTTTCGGATAAATTTCTTTGGTTTTTTCTGCCTGTCGTTCATCGATACTGCCAAAATCATTATACCATCTCAAATTGTTTACAGTTTCTCGATGAAGTTTAAGAAGAGCTTCATCGTATGATAAAGGGACAAAATGTATATCTTTACCAGATACTTCTCGAATTGTCGCACAAATTTCTTCCATAGTTAATTGTTCTGCCACAATTGGTACTGTTTGTCTATGACCCCAGTGATCAGGATGCTGAAAACATTCGCATACGACCTTACCCGTATCATGTATATCATAAAAAGGAATACGGGCATGCGAAAGAACTGGATAGCGAAATTCAAGATTTTCCGTGTAGGATACAAAGAATGTAATAAAATTCTGATAATAGAAACCAACGTGAATAAAAGTTACATGAACAAAAGTAGAGTCCGGTGGTAATTGCCGAATGTAATTTTCCATTTCAGTTTTGCTTCTACATAATAACAGAAAATATTAATATAAAACTGAAGAAAAAAAAAATCTATCTGTTGAGATGGTTCGTTTGAAGAGATATTCTCAATAGTTTAGATGGCACCGTCATACCCGTTTTGAGAAAACTTTGCTTCTCATTATATTCGATATAGAACTCACACAGAATGCAGAGGTAAATCGAATTGATTTTTCTCGAAGACTGTCGCATCTGGTATAAAACTCGTAATAAAATGTTCGATATTCGCTGTTCTTGCTGCTTCGATTAAGTTAAGAGCTTGCTCATATTCACCTCCATCTGTTGCATCCCAATAGTTTGTTATTGCAAACACTCCATATGCACCAGCAAATGCCAGAAGGCATTCTTCTCGATTATTAAGGTTACATTTAACCATATGTACACCACGTCTAATCAGTTCCTATCAAAGAAGAATGGTATCAGATACAATAGATGATGCAAGTGGATTGTAAAGTCATTTTTAAATTACTTAAAATAATTTAATTTGTATTAATTTCTATCAATGTGGTGGTTAGAGTCTACCATGGTCTTCATGAAAACAGTGGCTGGAATTTTCGTCGCAAACAAAATGTTGCAAAACTTTATAGTACAATATATTTGTCCGTCATCAATTAATTTTGTCGAAAGAAATAATGGAAAGTTTGTTAACGGATAGATCCTTTTTCGTTTTTAGAATTTAACTTTTTTACAGACTATAGTATTTCCTGATTATTTTTCTTCCCTTTTCATCATTACTTTCTACAAAATTAATTGGTCATGCGCATAAATATTGTACCATAAAATATTGCAACATTATGTTAGCAACGATTTGTTCATGTGATGAGTTTTTTGGGTGTGGATGTGGGTCTTCTTTTACTATACACCTACACCCACACCTTCTATGATAGCTTAGTTGACCTGAAAGATACTTTCATGGATCTCAATCGATGGGATAAGATAAGGTACTTAGTATGTTCAGCTTATATGAAAAGAGTTAAACGGACAAAATCAGTTCAGGTAGTTGATATAAAACTGTAAAATGCCAAGTTTCTTGGATATGATATTTTAGATAGAGTTCTTTTGAAAGAGACTACCTGACTATGCGTTGATGTTAAATCTCCAGTGATTCCTCGAATGTGCCAATTGTCTGGATATTCAAGTAGTGCTTCGATCACACTGCTACCTTGTCGACCATCGGCTCCGACAACAACAATTAATCGTCTCATTTACTATTATATTAACATAGGCATGAAGAAATCTAGAAAATTTAAGTATTGTGTGTTAGATAAGAGAAAAAAACCACCGAAACTGTGCCATCGTATATGTCTTGTCTAATTATTGACATTAAGGCGATATTTACAAAAAAAAATATAACAAAAAAAAACCCAGTGCTAATATTTCAGTCTGGAATTTCCATTGTGTCAAAAACAACATCATATGAACTTTTATATTTAAACCATCGTTGTTGATCATGATAGTATACCGAAGGAGTAACAACACCAAATAACTGAGGTCCAGGTCCTATTGTTTCGAAATATCGTGCTGTAGGATCAGATAAGCCATCACCTTCTCGATCAAATTCATCTTTCAAATAGTCCCATGTTCTTTCGACGCCCATTACACGGCATGGCAAATTTGTGCGAAGAGTAATGTATGTAAAACTACAAGTATTCATATTTCTCTATATCTATTACCTGATGAAATAGAATATTCAATCACGTTTTTTTCTTCTATATAGTGCTTTGAGTGGAAAAAAAGGGAAGTTGATAAGAGCAGCGAAGAACGCAATAGTGATTCATTAAAATAAATAGTGATGTGGCATCGATATTTTTCTTTTTCATAGCAATAATACGAGTGATTTCTTTTTTCAAACATAAACGATATTTGGTTATTAGTAAAGAACGTATGTGGAAGAAAAAGAATAAGGTATAGTAAATGAATACAAATGGTAGCAATACGGTGTTTTGGTACTTCAAAAATGGAGATGTATGGTGTGATAAGTCCGACGCTGAATGGGTTAAATACAGAGATGTTGAAATGCAAATTATAGAAGAAGCTTATCAGCAAGGAAAATCTGAAGTTCTTCTTGATAAATATCGAATTGATTTGAAAGAATTCATTCAATTCAATCGAACTGACTCATTGAAACAGCGTCCTGTACGACGTCAAGTAGACTGTAAAGTACAAGAATGTTTACGTGAAGAACGGTTTTGTTCTCCACCTTTTCTTACGTCAACACCATCATATGGAAAAGCACTAGCGTGGTGTCCATTTCTTACTGAATGGCTCAAATCACCAGCGGGTAGAAAAGCTGCACTGAACTTTCCTTCAGCCATTGATGCTTGTATAAATGGAATTCTGCAAGAAGCGATAAAACATCAAAGTAATAGTGAAACAGAAGCAAAATGGATGGTTGATCAATTGAAGTCATGTAAAATGAAACCTAGACGTGAAACGTCAAAAGTTTGCATTCATTTATATACTCGTGAAAGTTTTCTTTATCATGTTCTAAATACTGCTTTGCGTGAAGCAGATCATTCGAAATTGGATACTCTCGGACCACTTTGCTTTCTTATTCGTGATTATTCACGTACTTGTACAGAATTTATTGGAACAGTCTATCGAGGAGTACAACTACCATTGACGGCGATTCTCTCTTATAAACAAGCAGTAGGTTCATGGCGCACGTGGCCTAGTTACACATCAACAAGTAAAAATAGAGAGATGGCTGAATTTCGTGGAAATACATTGTTTATCATTGAAATTATCAATAGCAAGCTAAGTTTACAGCGTGCATACGACGTGTCTGAAATTTCGCAATTTCCTAGTGAAGACGAAGTTCTTTTGCCAGCTGGAGTGTCTTTTCAAGTGATTAATGTTGAACAGGAGCTTAACCAAAAATATATAATTCAAATAAAACTTTGACTATCACTTCAATAGGATGTTGTTGTAAAGATTACGCTCAAAAATAAGACTTGATGAAGCCCTATGTTTTGTGCCAAACGTTCTATTGCCTTCTATGAATCTGTTGTACAATTATATAGATGTATTTAACGAAAATCTAAAGTTTTCCTAACATTTCTTGTTTTTTTACAATCTAAATAAATGAATTCTTCGAGTGACTACTATTGATGTAGTCGGTTTCAATGGCACAATTCTTTGAGGGTAGGTATGAGTAAGACAGCTGAAGAGAGGACTCACACTCCACATTCTCTTCCATTAGAATAAAAGAAAAGTTAGATTCTCTTTCTTTATACGCACATTCGAAGAAAAGGAAAGAAGAATCGATTTACTCAATGCACAAAAAGTCATATAAAAAGCTAATCTTTATTCATTATTATCTAATAGAATCAATTTTCACTCAAATAGCTAATAGAGAGTGGGATGGAGATGTTCTCTTCATTCTTCAAGCTATCCACGTCCATACTCTCGAAATATATTATTAGTCTTAACTCATATTGTACTTTTTCTGAATGAAATCTGTTAATTCAGTCTTAAATGAAAATAAAATAGCATCAAAATGAAATTCACATTTTCTTATTTAGCAAAGTTTATCTCTAAAAGAAAACAATAACAATTAAATAGTTTTGTAACACTCATTTTGAACTGCCATTATCGATCGAAATCTGATACTCATTCTTTTTTTCCTTTCTCGAGATGTTCAAAAAACAGTGTGCAGAAGCGATAATATAAGCACACAACTACCACGTTCGTTTGAAACACTATATATAAACAATCATTACACTTCAAAACTTTGAATTGAAATTTTCAACAAATATAGACTGTAGATTGAGTAATCGATTGGCATAATCTTGTGTTCGAAGTGTTTTGTCGTGAGAAATTTTACACAGCTGACTCTTTTCTGTATAAAGCACCGATTTATGATCTACAAGTGAATCTCAGATCACGATTAAAAATACAACTATTTTCAATGTAATATAGTTGATATTTATGCAGATATTTTGATCTTTATTCTGTTATTATCAATGAAATTTGTGATGAAAATTATAGAAGAAACTAGTATTCATAAAAGAAACTAAAAAGTATACTTGATGTATCTTGGTTTTTTTAATATATGCGCAAATATAAAAAAAAAAGAGAAATATCGAGTATAATTTTTAGTTTCTTTCATAAATATTAGTTTCCTATGTAATTTTCATCATAAGTTTCATTGAGAAGGATCGAATTAAGATCAAAATAGCTGAGTAAATAACAATTATATTACATTGAAAATAGCTGCATTTTTAAGAATGACCTTGTATGGGAAGCCATAGCTCTGAAGAGTGAAATCTGGGAAGAGAATGTCAATATTCTGTGCGAAAATAGCTTTGAATGTTTAAGAAGTACTTAGGACTATCTAAACGTAGTTGAGGAAATAGTTTATTTTCGTATTGAAATCTTGAAACAACTTTCCTTCTATGATTGGTTATAGTAAAAACAATGCTCTATTTTTCTACAGTATTTGATCATTCTTCAATCAATATCATGATAATAAAATTTTGACAATAGCTGTTTTTCCATGATATGATACGTTACGATTATACGAATACCTATTTAATAAAAACCACGAGTGACTATTTTTTGGACAGCTTTTAATAGTAAAAACATAAAGATCTATGATTTTCACCGCTCGAAAGAGAAGTTCAAGATGAATTGAATCGTTTACCATCTATTTTACTACCATGCTGTCCGAAGTTTGTTTAATCAAATTTCAAAGCAAAATAATATCGTTTAACAGTGAACTCAATAAATTTCGTTTTTTTTTTGTATGAGATATATATTTCTTCTAACAATTTCTCGAAGTTCAAATTAGTTTTTCAACTGTGGTCACCATTATGAAGAATTGGTGATAGGAGAGTATCCTATAAAAGTATTCATATCAGCTGTTATAAAACTCGGAATAGACAAATAAAAAGGTAACCTTTCCTGATATTTTTTATTTTAAGATTTTTATGATTTTCATGAGACACTTTCGGTCAAAGTCTTTGATATATTTTTGTACTAGATATTTTATTCTTTCTAATAAAAAACCAATTAAGTATATACAACATTGCATTGAAACGCTATACGAAAAACAAAAGTAATGCTAAATTGTTGCTCCACCTGTTGGAAAACAATATTTAATCTTTGAATAAGAATAAACCAATATACGATGTACAGAGATCGATTACAAATTGGTGATTTTTTTCTTGTATAAATTATAAAGTTATCGTATTAAAATTCTATCTTTGAACATATCTACGCGTTGTTTTAATGAAAAAAAAGAACAAAGGAAAATACGAAAAAAGTCTTGATTATCTCATGCACTGTAGTATGCTCTCAACACTTATGCTTCCAAAATACAATGTTTTGATAATTTACGTACTCGTCATATTGAATATGAAAACCTTGTAATTACCTTGATTTTTTTTGTAATCCTTTTCTGCATCAAAAGGAAATGGTAAAAATAAATTTGATTCAAATTTGAAAAAAAAATTAGCTCTGTCACATGTACAGTCATTCCTATTAGGTAATAATTAACTAATGCCTTTTGATATAAAATAATAAATAAAAAGAAATATGCCGTGACCCGGGATCGAACCAGGGACCTTCAGATCTTCAGTCTGACGCTCTCCCAACTGAGCTATCCCGGCGACTAATGAAGATTTTAACTATATTTATAATTTGAAATGAAGTTTTTTATGATATTTTCAAACAAAAACAAAATATATCTGCATTTTCTGAGAATTTTTCTTTTACACAATACGATGAATGTTTGCATATCGAGCTATATGTCAATCACAATAACTAGGAAACATATAAGTCTCTTATGTCATCTTTAATTATTTCGTTTGAAAGGAGAAACCAAACGAAAAACAATCGTTTTTAGTCAATACGGTATGTAGAGTTTGTTATTTATCTTTCGTTTATGTTAGATCTAGACTCTGTTGATGTCAAAGGATGTCATTGTTTAATTTGTCTTTGTATTCTTTGTATCATTAGACTACCTCATCCTATTTTATATTATGTCTTTTACCTTTTCTTCTCTATTGTTGTTGGTTTTCTTTCCATTCTATTGATAAACATTATTATTAATATTATCATTACTGTTAGTATTATATCTTCAGTTATCATTGATTATATGTTTTCATTTCTTTAAAGGAAACTATATTATCACCTACATTAACAAAATTTATCTACAAACTACACAGACAAGATGCGATCGGCATTTTACGTGAACTTTCTTACTTTTAAGCAGATGATAACCCCTAGTTTATTTATCATTTAACACGTGTAATTAACAGAACCGATAGACGTAGTCCATGTGGCAAAATCTGGATCACTTTCAGTGGTTAAGCATGATTTATCGATCATTTTACCAATCAACTGCAGTTTACCAATAGTTTTATCAATTAATTGTAGCTTATCACAACAGAGTACTCGACTTTTACTAACATGAGACTACATAAAAACCTATGCTTTCTTTATCATAAGATGTCTATTAGTGATATTTATTGAAGTAATTATTAAAATGGAACGAGCCACTGTTTAATTTTGTATACTAATCAAATAGATTCTTCAATTATGAATAATCTAAAATGAATTATGACTGTTGACATCAGTGGTCGATGGCTATAGTTACATTGGTATTATTCTCAGTACTAGAGCTCTACCTTTCATAATGAATATTTGTAATGGATAAGTTGTCTTTTCCATTTTTTTTCCACTTATTTGAAATGTGAGTGTAGCGTGTAGGTGCATATGAATGTGAGTTTGGAAGTATGGGTGTGTGTGTGGAGTGTGTGGTACGAGTGTGGATATGACGTGTCCATATAAATAACGAGGACACTTTCATCTTTGGCCCTCACAGCTACATCCTAGAATACTCTTTTATTCTTTTTCTTTGTCTCTACTTTGACACTCACATAGTCATTGTTTCATTGTCTCTCATTTAGCTTAGGCCAAACGGAACACGATATGCTCACTTGTTATATTTCGTTGAAGATGACGCGCTCTTTGCATCAGATGACTCATTGGAACAGACTATGCAAATGTTGCTTGATGTTGGTATTTGTTGCTAGTTCTTTTTGACAGAAATGATGGCCTATATGCGCAAAATATATTTGAGTGTTTTTTTTTACATTTACACAGAAAAGATTTGATAAGCAATCGAGGACTGATGCAGTTTGTTAACTGTCAGCAATCGGATTTTTTCAACTTTCAAAAAAACAGAACACAGTCAATAATTAGATGAAACCATGCTAAATCGATGTGTGTTGATAACAATGTTATGGTCTTGTTAGTACTATTGCAAAAGCATACTTATTAAGACACAGTTGTGCACAGTAATGGATCACAGTAGAAATGAAAGTCGTAAGTACTAAAGAACATATTGATAATGAATATCGAATAGACCCGATGAAATATCAGTCGAATTGTCACACACTAGAATGAATTAATTCGACAATAGACTACAGCAGAACACTCTCTACTTTCAAATGCATTCTGGCAATGAATAACATGGTTGATTGAATATAGTTTCTCAGTTGAGTAGGATAATTGGAACAATTGTTACTCTTTCAAATGACATGATAGACAATCGATTGCCAGTTTTATTTCATTCAATTCTAATAACATCCCAAAATTATTGACCATAATTAATAGATTTCTGTAAGAAGTGATGATGATTCCTTATCCTTGGGTAGGGTGTGGATGAATGCGGATGTGGATAAGTGTGACACATCAAACTTTTATCTTATCTGTCGCCCTCGTCCACGCATCGAAACGCTCATACCAACACGACAAACATCCATCCACTCCCTTCTCTCATACTCTCTAAATAATCACCAACATGCACTCCTCACTCTAATTCAATAGCAGTGGGACAATCGAAATGATCATCTCACAATTTGCGTTTTATTTAAAAATTCAAAAGTATTTCATCCAACAAACGATGTATTCCCTATTTTGAAGATGTTTTCTTTGCATAGACCTCTGCTAAGCTCATCGGACTTTGAATTTGATCAGCTCCGTCGATACCCAATTCTGCGGACAAACGTTGAGCATTTTCAACTGACAATTTCTCGAATTTGTGTTCAACCAATAGGCGTCCTTCGCGAAGTAGTGCGGGATCAATGCCTTTGATTTCACAATTGAATGTCGTAATAATTTGTTGATGCATTGCGTCACCCAGTAGACCATCACTAAGATTTAATAGATTGCTAACAGCTTGGTTTGGATTGATATTATCTTTGCGATCGAGTATAATATTTTCTGCATCTTCTACAATCAATATCGAATTTGGATATTGCATAAGAAATGGTAAAAAGCCCGGCTTAGTCATTTCCTAAACGAAATAGAAATTCGTATGGAAGAAAATCGAATTTAAACGCTTACCGTAACCAAATCCGGCGGCACATATATGAGACTTTTTTCGCTGATTTCATTGATCAAATATCGAATATAAAAAGTTTTACCAGTTCCCTAAAAGAATAGAAAAACGTTTATGATATTAGATTATGGAATCGTTATTTTACCGGTGGTCCATGCAAGAAAGTGATACCAGTCGAATCGGCTTCGCGCAATCGTTTCAAGAGTTTTTCATGGACTTCCAAAAATCCATCACCATAGTTCAAACGTAAATCTTTAATTATTGGTCGTTTAATTAAAATCGACGATGTGTAGAAGCCCGATTGTGGATTGTAACAAACCATTTGTAGAGTTGTTTCGCTACTGGGAAATAGTTTGAATCGACATATTTGATCGAGCAGAGTTTGTGCACGCTCTCGTGTCTGCGGAACATAATAGGCCTATCAAAAATGATTATCAAAGTAGCTCATCAATAACAATCAATCAACAAGGACTCACAGAAATTGTAGTGATACAGAAGAATGTTTTCTCGTCTGTATCCGGCTTGAGATCGAGTGGATTGTCGAGTTCAGGTTGAGATAAGTGGCCACCAGATAGATGCACAGAGAGATACTCACCCAGATCAATATAAATGTCGGAATAGTAGGAAATTTTCTTGTCGTGTATATAGAACGTATTCGATATCATTGCATTCGGATCGACTTTGTACTCGTCGATGAGATATTGGATGATGCTGTAACGAAAATAAAAAACAACAAACATTCGCTAGATTGATTCATTAAATTAGGACGAATTTAGATGCTCCTCAATCGAATACAAGCCATTCTCTTATTTTACCATCTACATCTGCTCGCATAAAGCATTGGATTCAACTACGTATCAAGAATTTTATGTCAATTTCCTATAATAACTTCTACGAAATACTTGCCTTGTTGTATGAGCTATAGCTGCTGTGACATTATTTTGGTGATATTGACACATATTTGCATTCATACTACACGGCAATACTTTATACTTGATGCTGAAGAATCGAATCGGATGAATATTGCCGAGCCCTGCCATTTCCATGAGCAATTTTTCATGGTTTACTGTTGTTTGTGGATCGATAAAACCATGATAGTTGGGTGTGATTTTCACTGAAGATGATGCCATGATGATTCTACGAATAGTAAGAAACTACACACAGCAAGGAACGGACATGTATATATATATATACGTGTCGATATGAAAGCTAAGATTAATCATCCTCAAGCGTCATTACCGTTGGTTGTGCAAGAATGTTTTTTTTGTATCATTCGGGAGTATATTTGACGAAGAACAGTGATAAAACTATAACGACAGATGAAGTCTATCTCGTTTGAGAATTAATAAACACGAGGAATTCAATGAGAACCGTATATGAATGGTGCATCGCCGAACAGTGATTCTTCTTCGTCTTTCTTCTTTATTTATCCTTTGTCAGCGGAATGAAGAAAGAGACCCGCAAATGATTCAGAGCACGTTGTTATCTTGCTTCTTCTCTCGTCGTATAAGGTAGAAGAAAAATAAAGAACAGAGAAAAACAATGTTCTGGTGGTGTTGTGCAAAGTAATCAAAACAACAGACTGCTACTAATTTTATGGATGTAATCATAAAACATTAAAAGTGATTGAAACATTGCTGGACATTTTGATTCAACCACGCAAAACTCTCTTCTTATTTCTTTATCGTTCGAGTATCTTTGGTGCGTCAAATTATTGGCTCACCAATCTATTCTGTATAGAAAACGTTAACGAAAGATTATTCATTACGCAGCATTCGATAATTCTGCGCCAATATTCTATTCAATTCAATGGTTACACGATGGAAAATCATTCGAAGCAATGAGTGTTACTATTAGACAAGGCGGTCGGATTGTTTTCAATGTGACATGGCTTTTCATAAACAGGAAAATGGTTATCTAGAATATCAACAACCTACCCCTATTTGTATTCTAGGTGTTCCACTACTATGAAAAGTGATCTTTTCTTTTAATGTAATAACAATCTCTATACTATTGCAATCGGCTTGGTTTTCTTCAACCGGAACTGAAATTGTCGCCAGAAAAATTACTTTAGACGAAACCAATGGATTGTTTACCCGATCATGCATATCTACAGTGAGCGACCGTTGCTTATGCTAGTACTACTGACGATCCTATCAAACCAATTCCACACAGTTCAATACTCTACCGATGCTAGGAAAAAGTACCTGCCCGCACTGATGATTCGTTACTGTACGACTTGGTTATTCATCTAATTGTGATCAATAATCAAGCATTGGCATACGGTCAAGTTTGAACTCGTAATGGTTGATTGGTCATTGCCTCTGCTCAAGAAGGTGTCATTTGATGCGTATAAGTTGAATGAAATAGTCAATTCTAAAAGTATTCCAATAATTAATCTGTAGCCAATATTCCACTTAGTTTTTTTAATGTTGAAATAAAATTCTCAAGACTCCAAGTTGAACTAATCGTGATGAAAAAATAGGATAAATATCTGACATAAACATAGGCATATTAAAAGAAAAAAAGAAGTATCGACAGATCAAAGTTGTTTGGTGGACATATGTATGCATCCATCAGAACTGCTATCGGTAAGAATCAGTTATATTCAATGGGTTGTATTGATCGATGAGAATGAATTTAGGTTTTCACTAATAAATGAGAAGAGTATTTAACTATTCGTATCGACGATGGTGATCTAAATCGGATGTGAGCGTCATCATTGATAATTAACGAAATACGGAACTAATTGCAAACAGATTTCACATGAATATCAATTAGAATCGAGAAGCAGAACATTTTTGAACATGCGATAAGATTCAACTGTGAAAGTTGTTACAAAACGATTGACATGATTACCATGATAGGCGCGTTTTGATGGTCGAACATAAAAACATATCTTTTTTTGTAAGAGAACGAACTGAAACTTAAAAAAGGTAATACGCGCATAATCAATAATTAAAAAATTCGATACCTACGCTCGATGATCATCTCGTTCAATTATGGCAATATGTGTACCAACCTTACTACCACAGGAATTTTAGAAAGCATGTTCAATCTGTAGACAATATTTCATTTTAGACTTTTGACAATTATAGTAGATTTTTACACAACTAACAGAAGAAAACAAATACGAAGATAGAAAAATAGTCAAATAAAATACGAAATCTATCGATGCTGATCACACGAAATTCGTTTGATTCTCATGGATTGAGATGAATTGTGCGAAGACGTTTCTTCAATAGATCGAATCGTTTGATATGATGCCACACTAAAACACATATTCAGATCATTGATGATATTCTCCAGTCCAATCAATCAGCAATGCGCCGCTGTTATCTTTCATGACTAGACATGTCTATGGCGATGAATAATAAAATGCCATCAAGCTATGATTACTTGAAACGGTTTAGTTCCATCGATAGAACAGCTCATTTCAACAGAAAACTCATGTTTATCGACACACTCTGAACCACGTCGCACGAACATATCGTAGTATCGTACAATGTCGGATAAATACAATGGGTTGTGGTTACCTGGAATCGACAACAGTTCGAGTATTCCGCATCATCATCTTTATACAAAAAAATATAAACTGATCTCCTGTCTTGAAGGTGTTGGTGTGGGAATATTCATACGATTTGTCCTGATCTTCACTGACACATTATACCTCTGCCCGTTGATGTCCAAATGGATCTCAATATGCAGAAGTATACATTAATTTGTTTCTAGGTGAAATCAATCTTAACATTGGTATCATTATCTAGAGTTCATACAAACTTCAGTTAATTTCTTTCAATAACATATAATTGAACATTGCATTTTTAGATAGGTCTTGTAAAAAGTTGGTAAAATCATTGGATAGTTTATTAAAACTGTTCATGAAACGAACTCTGACTCGGTAAACTATCATTGATTTCAGATCAGAACAAGAGATCATTCGAAGATAGAAAAAAAAATAAAAAATAAAACTTAAACATAATATATATCTATCAAAAAGTACTCTAAAAATCAAAACTTTTCATATTTATTTGATAGTATCAGAAAAATAATTTTAGCTCTTTCGATTTTCGATGATGTTTTCAGCTAAAATGTTTCGTTGAGAAATGTAAACATGATTCAGTTATCGTTTAAAATCCTGTTCATTTTATACTTTTTTCAAAAAATGTATATTTGCTAAGGAATAGTCAAATCCAGTTGAATACCGGATAGAAAGTTGGAAGAAAGCTTTGAAAATATTCCTTAAATTCTAAAAGATTTCTAGAGTATATTATTGAACATTTAAATCATTTGCTTGTTTTTATTTTCTTAATTTTAGTAAGTAATAAATTCAAATGATTAACTCTTTGAGTATGAGATTATTTTTTAAGCAACACAAATTTTTAAAATTTATTTTTAACATACTATGTCTTGTTTCACTTTGGAAGAAAAAACTTATGAAATCAATGCACAAATATATGTGCAACATAGACTTGCATTACATTATACGAAATAATCAAAATATAAATAGTAATACATAAATTTTGAGTTCGTTGAAAAAACTTTTCTATCATCATTATTTTTAAAGACTCGAAAAAGATTAAACTTTAACATATAAGATTATATAACGAAAAACTTATTCATGTATATTTTTATATCTCTCGCATCATCATCATCTTATATTGTATGAAAATATCTTTATTAATAGAGCGACAGATACAAAAATATACAGTAACTATCATCTAGTTGAAACACGTTAAATATGTCAATCTAGACTTTTTCATATCAACAATAACAACAGAATGGGTCAAATGTACAGAATCTGCATGTGTGCATCCACATGCATTAGAAGAATTTTTTAATCATTGAGTACATTCCTCCTTCGACACGTATATGTTCTATATTAGATTTTGTTTAACTTAATTGTTTTCTCCGAACATGATCAGTATTAGAGCATTTCCTTTGCTTGTGTCGCTATTAAGATTCAGCTTCGTTTGTTTCCACAAGCTGTAGAAGAACTACCGAGACTAAAGTAACTTCTTAGCTCATTTCGTCACCTTTCTCATTCTCACCTTATATTAATAAATTTTAACAGCAGATTTTGCACATCTGTTATGGGTTAACTTCTTTTGCACAGAGATTAAAATAAATATTTTGATATAGTTTTACACAAATATAGATAAATTATAATCTCATGAAATCTACTTTTGTCTAAACAAATAATCAGACAAAAAATATATTCAATAGAAAAAGCATCACAAAAAAAAGTTATTTGTTCAAATTTTTTTTATGAACAATAAAACAAAACATTTGCTATAATACGAATTTTGATTATCACTGATATATTAAACCAACAAATCACACAGACTAGATGTTATTGTATCGAAAAAAAAAAAAGAAAAACTACCAACGATTAACAGGAAATATTGTTTTAGTTTTCTTCCATTTTGGATCAAATTGTGCAAGAAAAGTATCTTTTGCTAAAGCATCAATTAATTCTTGATCAGTATGAATAGTTAAAGATCTTGCATGTAACATTATTCTATGTGGTTTATAATCAATAGGTTCTGTATAAAGATAATCTCCAATAATTGGATGACCCAAATAATTCATATGTAAACGTATTTGATGTCGTTTGCCAGTTAAAATTCTGACAAGTACTTTCGATGCTGGTTTTCCATCATATTCACCATGTTCTAAAACATCAACATGAGATTGTGCAGTTTTTGGATATGTACAATATGGATGATCATTTGTACACATAATACGTCCATAAGATGAAGCATTCTCTCCAATTGGTACATCAACAAATATTGGATAAGGTGTATGTAGATGACCATGAACAAGAGCTAAATAATATTTTAAAACACGTTTATCAATAAATGCTTTATAAGCAAGAAAACTTGAGATTGTTGAACGAGCAAAACACATACATCCACTTGTACCTTAAATATTTATAATTTTTTGTTTTGTTTTTTATTTATTTAAATTCTAAATTTTACCTAAATCAAGTCGATGACAATAACGAATATCTTCAATTTTTTGTGCTAAAATTTTACGCCATTGTTCAATTTGTTGTTCAGTAGGTGATGGTTCTTGTTTTAAAAATTTTTCAGTTTCACGTTTTTCAAACCATTTTTTAACCTGTTGTGTTACATTAACTTGTGATGGAGCATCAAATGCATCAATTGGAACAAGATCATCTTTATTAACCACAATATAATTTTTTGATTCATATACAATTTGTATATCATCATCAGATGATGGATAACGATAATGATCTGATCTTTGTTGACGATACCATTGAACAATAACTGAATACCATGGAGAACCAAAATAACAAAGACGTGAAAATGTTGCACATGCACCACTTACATCAACACCAAGTAAATTCATTTTTTTAGCTAATTTCTTAAAAAAAAATTTTCTTCTCTTATTTTTATTACGTAAAACGAAAAATAAGTCTTGTTTTTTTTTCTTTATTAAAAAAAATAAAAAATATCACAATCAATATACAAGAAAAAAAAATGTTGCAATTGAATATCGATAATTATTTCACTAGTCTAAAAGAGAATAAAAAAATTTAATTTTTGTTTATATAAAAAGAAAGAAAAATAACCGTTCATAGAGAAAGTGAATTCGTTGATGAGATTAAGATCATTTATCACTTGTCTTTTCAATATCTTTTTGAATAATTTTCACCGGAAGTTTAACTACTAGAGATTGTATTACTGTTGTTTGCATATAACTTGTATCACTTTTTGTCTTAAAATATTGAATAAAAATTATTGATATGAAGAAATAGAAAAGAATTTTCTTACTTCAATATTTTCTGATGGATTTAAATAACAATCAAATAATGATTCTTTAAATAGAAAAAAGGAAAAGATCTAAAAGATGAATAAATCGAATTAAATTATTTACTATGACTTGTAGATAATTTTTCATTATTAACATTTCCCAATACACCATCAGACATCATAGGACAATAATCTATAGATGAATAAGATTGATTTATTTGACTAATATTTGGAGAAATATTGAAATGAACAACAAGTTCATTAATAGCTGATGAAGATTGTTTCTTTTCGTTCTGCTGTTTTTGATGATTATGATCATGATCATCTTCTTCTGATTCTAATTTTTTCATGTGTTCATCGTTCTTTTAAAATATAAAAGAATTAAATAACGAAATAATTATGTTGGCCTTACTTTAGACATTTGATATTGATTATTTCGATCTTTGAATGGAGAACACTTACCAATGCATGACAACATTATTATTATTATTATTTGAAATGAAATTATTCATAGAATCCGTTTCGTTCGTTCAAAGAGATGAATCATAGTCAATTCATGACTGGTGATTATTCAACCATTCTTATTAATTTTTGTCTTTTTTTTTTCATTTAATTTTTGTCTTAAGAAAATATTTGTTCGAAAAACTTCTTAATAAAAAAAATTTATTAAAATGAATTTTTTTCTTTTGTTGTCAATCATCGAAAAACAGAGGTCGCCTTATAATCATTTGTTTATTTACGTTTATTTTGATGTGAAATAGAAAAAAAGCAAAGAGCACAATAACAGAAATTTGTCTTTAACTTTACAAATGTTGACCAAAGCTCTTCGTCCTTTGGTAACCATTAAAGCTTCACCATTGTCGCTCACAATTCGACCATTATCAATTTCGAGCATTTTCTTTCAAGATGCTTCATCAAAATCCAAGAAAAAAGGTATTTATTCATCTTTTATTCTTCAATAATAATAATAATAATAATAATCTAATTTAGATGATAAATCATTAGTTGAAAAGAAAAGTGATGAAAAAGTTTTAAGAGTTGAAGATTCATTAAAAGATTTATCATCAGTTAAATGGCGTACTGAATATAATGGGAAACGTTTATGGCCTCATGATCAATGGCCAGAACGTGATTTAGTTAATTTTCCACCATATAAACTTCGTGAAGTACCAAATTCAGTTCGTTGGTATTGTGTACCAGAATCATGGTTTAAATTTTTTTATGAAAAAACTGGTGTTACTGGACCATATATGTTTTTTTATGGTTTACTTATTTATGGATTTAGTAAAGAATATATCGTTTTATGGTATGATTTTACTGAATATCTTATTTTGGCTGCAGCAGTTATTACTGTTGTTAAAAAGTAAGATAAATTTATCATCATAAATTATGATTCTATAGATTTCAATCGAAAAAATGAGACGAATTCTGATTATAAAAGATTTTTCTTTTTGAAATTTTGATATCATATACAATTAATATCGATTGTTTAAGTTGATGATGTATTTTTTTCACAAGAATATGAAAAAAAACATTAATTCTTCTCCGTTCAACTATATTTTTTATTATAACACATAAAGAAAATAAATTGATTTTATTTAATAGATATTACTCGAAAAATGAAAACAAGCAGATAATACTAAAGAGAAATTTACAATTAACACAATAGTGATGTTTTTCTTTGAAATAAAAATAACAATGGCATTAGTTCTTTTAAGATTTTCTGAGATAAGTTCAAAAAATACCTAAATAAAACCAATAGTTTTAATTTTTTATTTCACGTAATCGAATCGTTGAATTATATTTCATTATAGACGAAATAAATTAATATTGAATTATCTCTTAGCTTACATATGAAATTCATTAGTTTCACATTTTAGACTCTAAAAATTGTACTAAAAAACTTTTTTACCAATTCCATGAACTTAAGGAAGCCTCTCAGAATTGATTTATCACTTAGAATGGATCGTTTGGGCTGAAATTTTCAGGAATGAGTAGCCCTAGTGAGAAATGCTTGTGGTAAAAATTGTAGTCTGATATACTCTACTAAACTGAACTTCCGGCTTGTTTTATTATCTTCTAGGAGAATTAAAATAACTCCATCATTAGAAGGATTACAGAACTCGGGCTAGTTTCAAATTAAAGCTAGCTTCTGTACGCAACTTTTCATCGGATGGAATTTTGAAACTTCCTTCTATTCATTTTTTATGACCATTTTTGTGGACATGGTATGACAAATAAGTACCAAAAATCCCTCCAATCAAAAGTTAGCTCTCATTTAGACCTTTAAAACAAAAACAACCATTGGTGATACCCCGAGCTGAGAGGAAGTTATTTCAATTTTCCTGTCTAGAAATTGTGTTTTGAGAAAAACGTTAAAGAAAGTTTAGAAATGGATTTTTTCATTCAAATCCAGAACAAATCCTATTGCAATGGTGTATTTTTGAATATATTCCAGTGAACCATTGTAAAGTACGTAATAGATGAAGGTAGCTAACGCCATCTGACATGTTGGTTAATATAAAAATATTCTATTCAATGATCATGCACGTGACAATGCAGTTTTTCTAAAACTGAAAAACTTTAAAAATTACGAAAATTTTCGCAAAAATATTGTAGTAGAATCAAAGTTTCATGTGATAAGTCTTTGAAAATCTGATCATTTTCCATATATTCTGAAAGAAGAAGTTTCATTGCGTCTTCCTGTGATAAAAACTCAAACTTTGAAAAATTTGATTTTCTAGGAAGCTCCTTAATGAAAGATATTGTATAATTAAATGTTGATTTTTTTTCTCTGTTTAATAGACTTGGTCCAACAGTTGGTGATGTCTTTCGTGGTTGGCATCAAGAAGAAGTTGATCGGTATAGTTCAGTTGTTAGTAATTCAAAAGCCATGGCTGGAAAAGTGTTACATGCATATGAAGATTCATTAGAACGTGCTAAAAGTATTGGACTATTAGCAGATGCTCGAAAAGATATAATTAATATGGGATTAGAAGGAGCATATCGTGACAGAATGAAACAAATGTATGAAGCTGTTAAAAAACGATTAGATTATCAAGTTGCTCTTCAAAATGCACGAAAAGATTTTGAAAGAACAAATATGATTAATTGGATTACAGATCAAGTTAAACAATCAATAACAGCTAAACAAGAACAAGATGCTTTACAAGCATGTCTTCAACAACTTCGACAAATCGCTTCATAATCACGATAAAATTTAATCATTTTTGTAGACTATTGATCCGTAAAAATTCTCCACATTTTTTTTTTGTCTTTTGTCCTTGAAATCCTTTCCAAAGTTTAGAAAATAAGTGGAAAAATAAACATTACATACATTTTGCTTCTTATCTTGTATAAATTAAAATACAAATATATTAGAGTGAATATTTTATTTTTAAAATAAGACAGGAACTTATCCAATTAAAACAGAAACAAACAAGGTAAATTTAATTGAACATCGAATTTTCTTGTTAAAAGAATATCTGATTTATTTTGCAAACAACATTTTAGAATTTAAATTATGAAATGAGAACAAATCTTATAATAAGAATTATTTTTTTTCTGTAGGAAATTAATCAAAATAAAAATTGACTTCTCGTCAAATATGATTTATTATTAATTGATATTATTTAATCATATATGAACCACCAAGTCGAACTTTTCTTTTTTTCATATATTTGACATGCACAGATCTCAGAATGAACACATTTGAAACAATCGACTAGAATAAAATAATAAAAAATTTTCTGCTCAAGATACAAAAACAAAATGCTCCTTACCATTGAGCATGTCTGAATCTATTTACTCATGTATATTCACTTTTTTGACCTAATTATTGCAGGTTTTATTGTTTAACCGATGATTTTTTTTACCTATGAGTTGAATCAGTCTGAATATAAAACTGAAGAAAAACATGTATGACATATAATTAAAATTAGTTTCACAAGTCACAGATATCATTTTCATAGTTGTGACAGATTACTAGATTTAATATCGTTAGCTTGTAATGAAGACGAACTTTTTTTTATAAATCTGTGTAATTCGTAATATTTTATATAAAGTATTTTGTTTGTGATCACTTTTACACATCCTGGAATTCGAAGTTCAAGCATTTGAACTTGCCAAAAGACATCAAGATGTGTCCATATCATATGACTTTCTTGTTTAACATAGTCAAGTACTTCATGAATATGAAAGAAAAAAAATTCGACTAGGGTTGATAATTATCTATTACTTAATAACAGCATAAAAACATACATGATTTTCATAAATCTATTTATCCATTGATTTCAATTGATTTTTCAAAATCTTCATTATCAATCGCATCAAATATTCAACAAGTACGAAAGTAATGGAAATAAGTCTCATTCAATATTATTCAAGATTGCAACTAAAATATACTTTTTCGTATTTTCATTCTTGACTAGTTTAAGAAAAAAATAATACAGGTGGTTTGCCTCTCAACACACCTCTAAATGAAACAAGGTCATCTGTCACATGCTCGAATTTTTTAGATAAAGAATAGCTTAGAAGGTATATTTCGGCTTCTATGAAATAAGAAGTAAATGTACACTATGCAATTGTTTAAAGTTTCAATTTATTTGTATTATTTAAAACAAAACAAAAATTTCTTATTGAGCCGTGTTACTGAGAGACACCTACAAATGATAGTATAGACCTTGCTTCTCTGTCGCTAGTATCTATCGAATCATGTGAAGATGGAAGAAGATACTTGAGAAAAAAAAGACAATTATTATCTCTCAATGTATGACGTAAGCAGTCTAGAATGAAAATCACGTGTAAACGACTGTTTTGTCTCTTTTTCTCTTTTCATGCTTTTTTTTTTATGGTAGTATATTACATTAATAGACAAAAAACATTATATTGTCTGTCCTTTTCTACTTATTGTTTTGTGTATACGGTTGATGCGGTTTTTTTTGGTTGAAAACAAACATAATGTATTTTTCTTTTTGTTTTTTTTTTGCTTTCATTTTTCTTAAGATACTTATATTATAGATAAATGATATAAATTCTCTGTAAAAGTCTTTGGCCGAATTGTTAAAGTAAATCAGGTGAGTAGAACTTACGTAACTTTTGATAAAAAGGAAAAGGGTGTGTTTTTTTTTCATTTACTTTTCTGAGAGAATATCGAACAAGTTTGTTGTTTTTTTTTGTTCAAATTTATTGTAATGATGGTAAGAAATAAGGCTCGTGTTGACTTTTGATTGCTAATAGCTCATGATCAATATTATGATCTAAAAATATTCTGATGATAAAAAAAAAAAAAAAAAAAAACTTTTTAATTTAGTATGTCTCCTGGAGCATTTAGTTGTGTATTCCGTTCAACTGTGAATACAGTTTTCAAACGATTTGGAATATCATTATTAAAAACTCTATTAATTTATTTAATATCATTATTATTTGTTCAATTACCAACATTTGGGTATTTAATAATGACATTAGGAAAAGATGAAAATCGATCTAGATTACAAAAACACACTCGTGCAAAACTAATTGATCCTTCTGATCCTTCGGCACCATATCGTGCTGTTGAAGTTATAGATGAACTTCGAAATACACCTGATACACATATTAAAACATTAGCTGATATACCGGAACATTGTCTTCAACGTTATGCTGATAAAGAAACATTAGGTGTTCGAGAAATTCTTGATATTCAAGATGAAAAACAACCAAATGGAAAAATATTTAAAAAGGTTTTTGCATTTTCTTTTTTTTCAATATTTTGTAAATAAATCTAAAAACAAAAATCTTTTTTGAATTCTAAAATTTAGTTTGTAATGGGTGAATATAAATTTACAACATATCGTGAAGCATATAATCGTATTGAAGCTATTGGTCGAGGTTTATTATCGATTGGTGCTGAACCAGGTGATAAAGTTTTAATTTTTGCTGAAACACGTTCAGAATGGTTATTAAGTGCATTTGGTGCTTTTCGTCATGGCTTAACTGTTGTTACACTTTATGCAACTTTAGGTGAAGAAGCTATTAAACATGGAATTAATGAATCAGAAGTATCAATTGTTGTTACTTCATATGAATTATTATCAAAACTTGAAGTAAGATTATCTTGTTTTTGTAAAGATTGTAAACAAAACAAAAAAAAAAAAACAAGAAGTGTTAATTTATTGCATTTAGCAAACATTAGAACATACAGAAAAAGTTCGTTATGTTATTTATTTTCCTCCTCTTGGCAAATCAGAAACAATAAAATTACCTAAAGATAAACATAATATTCAATTTATTCCATTAGATCAATTAGAAGAAGAAGGAAAAAATGCAACTATTAGTAAATTTTCATGTGTTTTTATTTTTATTTTATTTTTTTTGAAATATTTTCTATTTAGATGAAAATATTTTACGAAAACGACCTAATAAAAAGGATATTGCTGTTATTATGTATACTAGTGGCAGCACTGGAACACCGAAAGGTTAGTTTTTAAAACATTATCTTATCGATTTTTATATAGACAAAATTTTCTAAAGAATAAAACAAAAAAAGAAAATCAGCTGTAAAAAGTTTCAAATCCGATTCATATATATTGCTAAAAATAAACTATTCAGTTAGGTACAGAGAGACGTGTAAAAAATGTCACATTCACCTACACATCAATCGTAAAAATTTTCTTCTATTCTATTAGAAAGAAAATATTTTTACCTTTTTTTCTTTGAATATTTACCGATACGAAAAGCAACAATATTTATCTATAATATTAATCAATCGAAAATTTTACATATAAATTCAATTTAAATATTATAATTCACTATTTATTCAGATTATCATATTCAAATAAATAGATTTCAATATTTTATTTAATAGTCTAGACCTAATTCGACCTTTCAAATCTTCTAATTATAGATAAAATCAATCAATTTGTCTTCTAATATCTCATTCTATAAATTAATAATGTGATGTAAGAATTACTTAAATAAAAAAAGATGATGAGAGGCAAATGTCGTCTAGAATAATTGATAATGATAAAAAAAAAAAATATAATCATGATAGAATAAGAAATACAATTGTATACAATAAAAATGACATTTAAGAATAAAGAATGATAAAAATGCCAAATACAACATTGTACTAGTAACACAATAATAAATAGGTTAGATGTACTATTGACCTTTATTTTGATTCTACTGTTGTTGGTAATCAATACATTTTATTGTCTTCTTTAATATAAAGAAAAATATTAAAAGAATTTTTGATATATTTGATTTCATGACTTAAAATTATCTTTTATTTAAATTTAATCGATTATTTTTCGCGATCAGGTGTATTAATAAAACATGAAAATATAATTGCTGCAATGACGGGTCAACAGGAACGTACTTTTACAATGGTTAATCCTGATACTGATATATACATTGCTTATTTACCATTAGCTCATATCCTTGAGCTTTGTTGTGGTTTGTTTATATAATAAACAAAAATTTTTAAATAATTAAAAATTTCGTTTTTTTTTTTTTTTTGCTTGAAGAAATTGTTGTTTTTTATATGGGTATTAAATCTGGTTATTCGTCTCCACAAACATTAACTGATCAATCAACAGCTATAAAACAAGGTCAAAAAGGAGATTTACAAGTTCTTCGACCACATATTATGTGTTGTGTACCGGTATGAAGAAAGTTTTTTTTTTACGTAGTTTTGAAAATAATATTCTTTTTTGAAAAGGCAATTTTGGATCGTATTCATAAAACTGTAAATGAAAAAATTAATCAATCAAATGTTTTTCGACGTCAACTATTTCAAATGGGATATAGAATAAAAGTAAAACGTTTAGAAGAAGGTCTTGATAGTCCATGTTTAAATAAGTAAATATAATTTATCAATTAAAATTATGAATTTAAAAAAAACAAATCTTTAGAGTAATCTTTGCTCGTTTGAATCAGATGGTGCTAGGTGGTCGAGTAAAAACAATGATGTGTGGTGGTGCTGTTTTAAGTGGTGAAACTCAACGTTTTGTTCAAGCAGCATTATGTGTTACACTTTTTCAAGGTTATGGTCTAACAGAAACATGTGCCGCTGCAACTATTGCTGATCGTCTGTATTAATTGATTTTGATTTCAATTTCTTTATTTCTATTTTTCGAATTTTATTTTGAATAGAATTTGATACAAGTGTTGGTCGAGCTGGATATCCACTTGTTTCATGTGAAATTCGTTTAATTGATTGGGAAGAAGGACATTATCATAATACGGATAAACCAAATCCTAGAGGAGAAATTCTTATTGGAGGAAAAGTTGTAGCTGACGGTTATTATGCTGGTGCATCAAAAGAGAATGCCAATTTTAAAGAAATTGATGGTACAAAATATTTTTGTACTGGTGATATTGGAGAAATATATCCTGATGGAACACTTAAAATTATTGGTTTGATTTATTTTTATTTTTATTTTTATTTTTGTTTGAAATAATTTGTTTAATTTAGATCGAAAAAAAGATTTAGTAAAATTACGTGGTGGTGAATATGTTTCATTAACAAAAGTTGAAATGGCAGTAAGTAAATTTCTAATCGTTGAAAATTGCTGTTTATGTGCATCATCATCAGCTGAATATACTGTTCTTTTAATTTCTCCAAATCCGAAACAAATGACTGTAAGAATTCTTTCGTTTTTTTTTTTTGTCTTGTTGAATTTTCAATTTTCTTTTTAATAATTTAAAGATTTATTCAGAAAAAAAATTCAATGAAAAAGAATGGCAAAAATTAATTGATAATGAAGAATTTAATGAACAAATTCTTAAAGATGTTCAAGAGGCATGTAAAAAAGGTGGTATTGAAAAATTTGAAACTCCTCAACGTGTTAAAATAGTAACTGAAATTTGGACACCTGAAACTGGTTTAGTGACTGATGCACTTAAATTAAAACGAAAAGCAATTGAACAAAAATATCATGATGTTATTGAAGATCTTTATATTGATAAACCAAAAAAAGAATCATCGAAACGTATTAAAAAGTCTCGTATTGCACCTGAACAGTAAACAACCAAAAATAAAAAAATAATTCAATTGAAATTATTTGAAAAAAAAAAATATCAGTGATTAACTGTCGCATTCGTCCTATTCAATAATTATTTTTTAATTTAATTCCGTGCTATGATTTTTTTTCTACAATTTGCTACTCTTCACTTTTTGTTTTTGTTTTTTTTAATAAATAAATTTAGATATCTTTTCATGTTTCGTGAAAAGATGAACCGTGTTACTTCATAAAAAAAAAAAAAAAACTATTTGATATAAACAAAATAGAAAATCGTAAATAGATATAATGTAAAGATCGTTAATTGAAATTCTAATTAACTCAATTGATTATGTTCGATTTATGATTTCTCTAGAAGACATTTTTATTTATTAAGATGAATTTAGTTTATTCAGAAAAAAAATTTTTGAAAAAGTCCAAATGAATTTTTTTATAGTTTATTAAATACTATCTATTAGTCGTTGGTATTAATTTAATAGGAAATATTACGAAACAAAGGAAATATGATTGAAGGCATCAATTGACATAAATAAAAATCTAATTTCCTTTTTCGATCAAAATAAATTAAAATCACTCCATTAATTTGATTTTTTTTTACATTGAATATTAAAACATATCGCACTAATAATCTTCGATTCAAAAAACGTTGTACAAAAAACAAAATGCTGCTAGATATAATTATTTTGTTTATAGATTGTTTAAAATAGTCAAATAGAATATATAATTAGATTTTATTGTTTATAACACTGACATTTTTCACCAGCGGGAACATTTTTCTTTTATAGACAATGAGAGTATATCTGGTTTCATTGTAATAGACATATTTTTTATCTATGCTTCCATTGGTCCATCATGACTTTTGCTTTCATGCGATTCAAATATTCTTATAGTATCATCGTTATTTATTGATAAAAAAAAAATCTTCATATGTTCAATAACGAACAAAATTTGGCATCGACCAAATCGAGATTGATTTCTAATTTGATTATACATGCATATTATTGTGTTCATTTTTCTTTTTGTAATATTCAATTGAAATCAACATATAGAAAATAAATTAAATGTCTTTTTTTTTTTTAATTGAAGGAAAATTCTGTAGTTAGTCGAGAAAGCATATTCGATTGTCAAATAATTTCATTAATATACATTGATTGTTAGAAGACTTTCTTTTCTGGTCGAAAAGAAAGAACAAGATTGATCTCATTATTAATAAAAAAGTGTCGAGCATAGTGAAAGAAATAGTGCACATGCTGCGTCTTACTAAGACGCTTGTTCTCTGTTAATAAACAGTTACTGTGTCAGTATGAATGAACATCATCGATACATAATTGTCTTCAGAATGAATACACTCACTTATCTGTTGATCATTTTATTGTTTAAAAAAAAAAAAACTAATTTCTCTTAACAGATTTCTCTATCTATTGTAAATGCAGCTGTTAGATGACCTCTATTTTTTTTTTTTTGCCTTTTCTTCTCTTCGGACGGGAACATGAATCTATATATATAATGTAAACGTCTGTCAGATATAAATACAAAGAGAGTAAGAGAGACACGCTACTGCTGTTCACTAATAGAAATCAGTTCGTTGTCCTTGATATTTTTGTTCAAAAAAAAAAACCATTTTCCTTTTTGCTTTGTATTTATAAAATAAATTTAAAGTAAGTTAATGTTTTATATTAATAGCAATTAAAATTAAACTCATATTGTTATAATGCCAATAGCGTTTCTTTTTTTTTTTCTCGAAAAGCAAACTGACGATCATTTGAAGAGAAGAGACTTGTGTGTGTGTTTTTTTTTCTTCTTTCTTTCGATGTGACCGGAGAAAAAGAAAAAGACGAGAGAGAGGGAGAGAGAGGGCACACGGACATGATGAACGAGCGAACAGGAAGTTTATGTACAATCGATGGAAGCAGAAACATCGACATACAACTCTTCTTTTTCTTTTTTTTTCTCTTTACTACCAACTTCATCTTGAATATTTGTCATTTTTTTTTTAGTTCTTCATTTGTTATATAACCAAAGTATGTCGAGGTAAATCTCTAATTATTGACATTTGAAAAATATCTTCTAGATAATGCTTAAATAATGTCATCGACAGCAACAATCGAAAGTCCATCAAAATCGTCAACGACGAATATACGTTATCATACAAATGGAATTGAAAGTGAATCATCAACACCATCAACAACAACAACACATTCAAATGGAAATGGTATAACAGCTGTTGTTGTTACAAATCCATTGGCATCTTCATCATTTTCATCTACAACATCACGTTATCAATCGTCAGTTATGAATAAATATAAAAATTTAGCTGCACCAGATTTAACTCATCCACTTTCAAGTCTTAAACAAATGACACATATTTTAACAAATAATAATGGAAATAATACAGCTTTAGATTCGCATGCTTATCTTGCTGCAAAATATGTATGTAAATGTTTAATTATTTAAGTTTTTTTTTTTTTTTTATTAAAACTAATGAAATTTGAGTGAAACAATATTAGTTTTCATCTTAAGAAGAAATATTTGAATCTAAATTTTTTTTTTGTTTTCTTCTATTAAAAAGTAAGTTTATATATCTCTGATATTTTTTATTTTATCTTGACATATATTTGATATATTAAAAAAACTTTTCTTTTGTCTCAACAAATAAAAGATAATTGTTTCAATGAAAATTTTTATTGAACCGTGATGGTATTTTATTTAAAAATAAAAATCAATTAAAACAATGATGTGAAATGATCTTTCTTTTTATCAAGTGAAAATGTATTTGATTAGTTTCTTTATTTTTGATGTGCATACAACAGATAATCATAAGTTACATATATGTGATGAAAAGAGAATTGTAATCGATAATTTTTGCTTATAAGTGAACAACAGTTTATATAGTAGAGAAACTTTCTACAAAAGTTATCTTCGATAATAGATACAATCAAATAGACTCGTATTTTTCTTTTGTTTTTGTTTTTGAAAAACGAAAAAACTAACAACTAATCACTCATTAGTTTAGTTTTGTTTAATGAAAGAGAAAGATCAAAACAATGTTAAACAAAACGATTTATATGTTAATCCGTCTAGGTCTTTTTTCTTTTTTTTTTTTAACGATAGAATTTTCATTCATGTTAGTTATTCAAATGATGATATATATTCAACATGAACATATTTTTTTTATCAATAAGGGAATTATATGTATCATTAGTTACATATCTCCAGTAGAATTAATAGAATTCTTTTGAGAGTTGATGATATATATATATATATATATATTGCTATGAATAGATGTTTAATCTCTTTCTCTAGATGATTAGTTGTATTCACTATGATTATCTTTTCATATCGAGGAAAAAAAAAGCAATTACATCATTACAAATTATTGGTTGGATTATATATGCGTCTCCGTTTATTTAATTATATGTCATTATCCTACATAAACAAAGCTATTTATAATGATTGTTCATGCTTTTTTTATCTCGACTAAAAACAAAGGATCTTCATTTATCAGTATATTTTCAAATTGTAGAATAGAATTGAATATTTCTGTTATAATTTAAGCAAATAAATGAATGTTTTTTTTTTTTTGAAAAAAGCGTCTGTATTTCTTATTATTGATGGATTGAAATTTTCAGAATAGATTCTAATAAAAGAAATTCTATCGTAAACTTCATTGAAAGTGATGCTTTGTTTTTAGATCAGGTGTTTTTTTTTTGTCAATAGTAAGCCATTTTCCATATGTAAGATAAAACAGGCCGAATTCTACAAAATGACAAGTTCATTATAAAAAGTACATAAAGCAAAAGTTTAGATGTTATTGCAGACAGATTTCGTAGTGCACAATGTTAATGAAGAAATTGATGTGTGTTGCTTGTAGTTGAATAAAATTTCTTAATGATTCTTTTTTCCTATACATATGTCTTGTTATAAGTAAAAAATCAATTGGTGCTGAGACATTTGAACTTTAAGTTAATAGAGATAGATGTTTTGAATAAGAATTCGAAGCCTAGAAATTCTATTTGCTATAAACTTTTGGTGGAAGAATACAATGATGAGAGATCATTATATGGAGTAGTTGAAGATTAATTTTTCTGAATCGGATTTTCTTTTTGAAATTTCTGGTTTTTTTGAAGAATTTATTTAATTTAGCGTCGTGCTGATCCTCATCTTCGTTCAACAACATCAACACCAAATTCTACACCAACAAAAATTTCTGCTTCTGCAATAAATGAATCAACAACAGTCGATGGTCCACCACCAGTTGCTCCTCCTCCTCCTCCTCCACCACCACTACCGCCATCAGCTCCCGCATCATCATCTTCATCAATATCAAGTGTCAAAGGTCCATCAACTCGTTTAACACTAGATGATCTTCATCAATCTCCAATTCTTCATAGTACAACAACACATAGTCATACGTCAAATGGTGATTATCGTTCAACTCTTTATCCAACTATAGTTAATAATCCAACATCAACACCAATACCATCACCACCACATGGCTATGGATCATCAACAAGTAATTCTACAATATCAAAATTAATACGACCACGTCAAGAATCTGAAACAAATTCAATTAATAAGGAACAACAACAACAACAACAACAAGTAGCACCTAGAATTCGAGAAATAAGTTCAAATGTTGGTTTTGTTTCATTACCTGATCAAGTTCATCGACGAGCAGTTAAAAAAGGATTTGAATTTAATTTAATGGTTGTAGGTATGTCTCGGGTTTTTTTTTTGTTTCTTCCTGAATAATGTTAATGAGATACATATGTGACCTACTGCATCATAAAGATTAATTAGATCTATTTATCTCTCTCTACATATATATATATATATATATATGCTTTTAGGTCAATCTGGTTTGGGTAAATCAACATTTATAAATACATTATTTCAAACGGAACTTTATGGTCAAGATTTTCCATCGACAGTCCATCGAAAAAAGAAAACGGTTTCAATTGATTCATCATCTATTTTATTAAAAGAAAAAGGCGTACAATTACGTTTAACTATTGTTGATACACCAGGTTTTGGTGATGCTGTCGATAATTCAAATTGGTTTGTATTAATTTCTTTTTTTCGATTCGCTTGACAACAAAAATCAATCATAGGCTTTTTTTTGTTATGAATTATGACATTAGATCCTATTTGAAAAGGTCGTAGATTTAGAAAGCAAATTGATGAAAGACAAATGTATTCAATATTCTTATTTTCAAAAGATTATTATACATAACATAGAGCAATGATCAAAATTATTCTGCAAATGAAATCATAGTTTAATAAAATTCTGAGAATTAGAATAGAATAATTTTTCCACAAATTTTACAAGATGAATAAAGAAAATGTCAGTATTTCGTTAACATCTAGTCGTGTTATATTTAGAATGCCTATTAAATGAAGAATTTTTTTTTTCTGAGATGAATATATTTATTTTGTCTAAAATGATAATATTCGATAGGTTATCAATCTACCTTCGATATGAGTTAAATAACATCAAACATGTTATGATAGATTATTACTTCAATAAGTTTTGTTTATACTTTATTAGTGCATGATATCTTTTGCATTAATCTATTATGTCAAACTGACGAGGCATTGAAACATCATTCGGAAGTAAAAAATATACAGTACTACTTCTCTAACTCATTGTATGTCAAGAACAAGGTTCCTTTTAGTAATTTAGCTACTCAAGTTACACTTCTAAAGAATAATCATATGGAGCTCGACTTTCCTTTATGTGAGAAATAACATGCTTATTGAATGAATGTTTGGATAGACAGATAGATAGATATTTATTCAAATAGTATATTCTGTTTGAATGATATTGATAAGTACAATATGTTGAATATTATTATCAAAGTAAAACATATTTATTGTAGATTTCATGTAACTATTAGCGTTCTGAATCGAAGGATTAATTGATATTTGTTTCAAACAGATATACATTTTTCTAGATGTAGGGTTTCACTTGTTTTAAAAGATCATTACCTTCAAATTATAGACTTACTAAGATCATTCTATAAGAATTAATCACTTTTTCTTCATAATAAATCTCTGAACACTATTACTGAGAATTTGTCTGACTTGAATTTTTCTTTCTGACTAACAGTATATCTACTATAGTATCAGTAGATTTTATCGAAAATTTTTCTGTGTATATGAAGTTGATGATATTAAGAATCTGTAAAAATTTAATCTTTCAAAAAATATATCTTTAAAGAACTGAATATATTTTTTAAAATTCTTTTAATTTTCAGCTGGCAACCAATAATCGATCATATTGATTCAAAATATGAGGAATATTTAAATGCTGAATCTCGCGTTATTCGAAAAGCTCATATAAATGATAATCGTGTTCATTGTTGTCTTTATTTCATTACACCAACGGGTCATAGGTTTGTTCATTCTTCTTGCATATTTTTTGTTTAATCTTTTCATATTTAATTTGATTAGTCTTCAAGCATTAGATATTGAATTTATGAAACGTCTTCATGATCGAGTAAATATAATTCCTGTTATTGCCAAAGCTGATACATTAACATCAGAAGAATTACGTTTATTTAAAAAATCTATTATGCAAGATATTACAAATGAAAAAATGAAATTATATGAATTTCCTGAATGTGATGATGATGATGAAAATAAATTAACAAAAATTTATAAAGATAAAGTTCCATTTGCTGTTGTTGGAAGTAATTTTATTTTAGAAAAAGGAAATAAACGTACACGAGTTCGACAATATGCTTGGGGCATTGTTGATGGTATACTTGTTTTTTTATCAAATTGAAAAATTATCACTTTTTGTTTCTAGTCGAAGATGAAGTTCATAGTGATTTTATTGCATTACGAAGTATGTTAATACGAACAAATTTAAATGATTTACGTGATGTAACACATAATATTCATTATGAAAATTATCGTTATAAAAAATTAAGTTCATTTCATGGAAATGATACAAAAAAAGGTAAAACATTACAAACACCTTCAGTTAATAAGTAATTATAAAATGTTTTATTCAATTGATATTACTTGTTTT